GCGCGCGCGGCGTGTGTTTGTGCTTTAGGGTGCACACCCTAATGCAATAGGCTGCGCACACCTATGGTAGTGAGTGCAGTGTGTATAGTGAATGCAGTGTGTATAGTGAATGTAGTGTTTTTGTAGTGAGTGCAGAGTGTGTATAATGAATGCAGAGTGTGTATAGTGAATGTAGTGTGTTTGTAGTAAGTGCAAATTGTGTATAATGAATTTAGTGTGTTTGTAGTGAGTGCAGAGTGTGTACAATGAATGCAGTGTATGTAGTGTGTTTGTAGTGAATGTAGAGTGTGTATAGTGAATGTAGTGTGTAGTGAGTGCAGAATGTGTATAATGAATGCAGAGTGTGTATAGTGAATGCAGAGGGTGTATAGTGAATGTAGTGTGTTCGTAGTGAGTGTATAGTGAATGTAGTGTGTTTGTAGTGAGTGAAGAGTGTGTATAATGAATGCAGTGTGTGTGCGCGCTGGATGACGTGTGTGTGTGTGCGCGCTGGATGACATGTGTGTGTGTGCGCGCTGGATGATGTGTGTGTGAGTGCTGGATGATGTGTGTGTGAGAGCTGGATGATGTGTGTGTGAGTGCTGGATGATGTGTGTGTGAGTGCTGGATGATGTGTGTGTGTGTTGGATTATGTGTGTGCGCGCTGGATGATGTGTGTGTGCTGGATGATGTGTGTGTGTGCTGGATGATGGGTGTTTGTGTGAGTGCTGGATGATGTGTGTGTGTGTGAGTGCTGGATGATGTGTGTGTGAGTGCTGGATGATGTGTGTGTGTGTGTTTGCTGGATGATGGGTGTGTGAGTGAGTGCTGGATGATGGGTGTGTGAGTGAGTGCTGGATGATGTGTGGGGGGGGGAGCATTTTTTTTACATTATGTGTTTAATATTTATTTTATTCCCCCCCTCCCTGCTTCTTACCTTGTCAGGGAGGGGGGAGATCGCCTGGTGGTCCGGTGGAGGGAGCCAGCCGCTCGCTGCACAGAGGGGCCATCACACGCTGTGTTCCCTCTCCAGCTCTAACTCTCGCGAGACTCGCCTGTGCGGAGCGTTGCCATGGTAACAGCCGCGGGTCTCGCGAGAGTTATAGCTGGAGAGGGAACGCAGCGTGTGATGGCCCCTCAGTGCAGGTAGCAGGGCCGGTCCTGCAGGACAGGTAACGGGAACGGCGTTCCTGCTTTGGAAAAAGTGCAGGAACGCCGTTCCCATGCGTTCCTGCAGGACTCGAGCCCTGGGGCAGGCGATACAATACACAACGTGATCTGTTGTACAAGTGATGTAATGTCTAATCAAGATGCGTTTGCCACTATAGGGATGGGCAAAAGAAGATCCACTCATCATATGGCTGCAGGTAAAGCAGCCAGGACATTTGAAACATCCCATCTTGACGGAAGCTGTTTTTTTGTAGCAGTGAATAGGATCACTGCTGAGAGTGGGGAATTTTCTCAGTCAGGAATTTCCTCTTGCCATGGTCTTTCTTATCAATTTGCAACTTTCTGTATTTCTCCTCACATTCCCAAACCAGCTGGTGAGGAGCCCCAGTGAATGAGACAAGACAATGCAAGATTCAAGGTGACTTCTGACCTTTAATAGGCTGTGTAACAGGTTATATTCAAGAGGAAACAGTGGTGGCCTTATAAACATTATCCAATAATAACATAATTCATCAATCTTAATGCAACATATCTTATCCTATAGCTAGCTTGCAGGTGTAATGGGGGAGTAACTCATATTTTCAGTTTAACTACACAGCTGAAATTATAAAATTGGTACTATGCAGTTAAAGTTACAGAAATAGAAAACAGGAAAGAAGACCAACGCTCTGAGACAGGAAAGTTTATAGCTCACTATATTCACTAAGTATTGTATATAGACAAAATGTATAATTTCCAACAATTGCGTACAAGTAAATCATGTAAATTACGATTTCTTCTCTAGCTTATAATCAGTGTTTCATAAAGAAAAGAAAAAAAAAACTTTAGTATGTTGCTATTGGATTGCAGGTCACTCCAATGTTTATAGATGGAGTCCCTGATGTGCTTAGTGCTTGTGTGAAATGTCAAAGGTAGGAACATTTTCTTACAAACAGGTTCAGTGGATGAGGTGTCCTGTGGATGTTTGGACCATTTTCCAAAGCTTTGGATTTGGCTGTAGATAGTATTCGAGGATGATAACCCCTGTCATGAAATCGATCCCACATTTGTCGTAATTGCTTCTCTTGAGTTTTAGTATCACTGTTATATCTAACGTGTAGAAATTGGGAGATAGGTAGTGAATCTTTAAATTGCTGTGGGTGAAAACTGGTGGCTACCAGTGATGTATTACGTTCTGTCTGTTTACGGTATAAAGTGTACCCTAATCTGTTAATTCTATATACACTTACATCCAAAAATTGAATAATAGATTCATTGCAGATGGGTGTTAATTTAACAGACAAAGGTAATAAATTGATCTGGACAACCATAGAGTGCAGCTCCTCCGACGTTCCTCTCCAGATAACAAAAATATCATCCACAAACCTTAGGTACTTTATTATTTTTGTATTAAATTTTGACAGTATGTATTCATGTGCGAACCGATGCACGAATACATTAGCGTATGAGGGAGCCATAGCTGCCCCGATCGCTGTTCCGGAGGTTTGTAGATAAAATGTATCTTCAAGTTTGAAGTAATTACAGTCAGAGCTATAGACAGGAATTCCAACATGTATTCAGTACTGTGACGAGACCAATCTCGCCACATTGCATTGGAGAAGCCTGGTTGCCCGCCTGCTGCCCCTGGACTATGGCCCCCTTTTAAAAGACATCTTTTTTTTACCTGCAGAAAAGCTTAATTCGTGCTTTTCTGCCTGGGGTTCGGTAGATTTGTTTCAATGTGTTATACCCCAGATAGGAATCCCATGGAGCCCATTCGTATGAAACTGACTGTAAAGACTTTGGCTCCATGGCGATTAAACTGTATTCGTGTGGTCTGAGCGCAATTCGCTTAATAATGTGCGCTCGCACCTGAGCTATCTGGGGATATGTTACATGTCTGTGTTTTATGTAATAAATTTGACTTTATGTATTTTAAAGTGTTTTACTGTCTTTGTGTCACCATGTGCATAATGGAGTCTTGTCCCTGTCCTGGGAGATAATTGAATTACTTCTCACTTATCTCCAGGGCAGAGGAGAGGAAGCCAGGATGCATTGTGGTAAAAGGTATGTGTATTGGGTTACCTCTCAGGATAAGGGGGAGGGAATCTGTGGGTTGTAACTAATATGTTACTGGATATTTTATACCTCCCTGTGGGCGGTCCTGTATTTGCAAGACTGTAATAAAAACCAGGCTGGGTGTGCCAGCACCTCAGACCACTGCTTGACCCTCAACACAGAGCCTTGTCTCGTTCTTGGGGGGATTCACTGTATGCTGTTAGAGACTGATTGCCAGGAGTGTAAGCTGATTGTCTGCTTTTCCTGTTCGTCTGCTAGCAGCTATTTGGGAGGTTCCAGTTCGGGAGTTGGAGTGCTATTTTGTATCCAGTTCGGGAGTTTGGTGTTCTGCAGTAGCTGCGCCGGCATCTCTGGAAAGGTGGCCGATCGCCTAAACGGTTTTTACCCCTTGTGTGCAAAATGGTCCGTTACAAGTACCTTTGTATGTTGAAGATACCAATAGGCATGTTCAAACTGCTTGGATCCCTTGGCTTTGCAGTATCACTGTGTACTGATTCTGTACATCTAGAGTAGCAAGAAGGACATTGGTTTCTTGTTCCAATGAGATATCTTTAATACTGGCCACAGAATCCTGTGTGTCTCTGAGACATGTCGGAAGGTCTCTGAAGTAGTCCTGTAAATAAAAATCCACGAATTTAGCAATGGCTTCGATTAGTCCTCCTCTAGCAGATAGTGGACTTACAGGATTACAGGATTTTTGTGGATTTTGGGAAGAGTGTACAGGACTGGGTGTATATGATACGTAAAATAGATATTTAGATGTTTTGTAATCCCAGAATCCAGAAGTTAATCTGGTTTCAATATGAGCACTGACTCTTTGTTGAATTTTGCAGACAGGGTCATAGGTAAATTGTTGGTAGGTGAGAATATCACCTGATAAATAATCTCTGGCTTGTATTTGTGGTTTGATTGGATCATGACTGCCCCCCCTCTGTCCATGGAGCAGATAATAGAAGAATAATTTTAAGATCTGGCAGGGCCAGTTTTTCATCTCTAGTTAGATTATCTCAATGTTTAGGTGGAGAACAACTTATTTCCATGGCATCCTTGTGGACTGCTTGTATAAAGGCTTTGATGGAGCTGTTGTTGGAATTAATATCCTTCTTTTCATGTGAGGAGAATCGTGGACTCTGTGTGATATTGGAATCTTTCCTTAATTCGTTACTACATAAAATTCTTTGAAGTTTATACATCTCAATATCAACGTGAAGGGGATTAAGTTTGTTTACAGGGACAAACGTCAATCCTTTGTTCAATACTGCATAATGGTGTTTAGCAAGGATCTTATCAAACAGATTAAATATTATAGATGCATCTTCTGCAGTGGAGGTTTGTCTGTGGTTCTTGTATGTCTTGTGGCCCTTCTGTCCTCTGTGAGGGACTCTGTTTCTCTTGTATTTCAAGTGGAAGCTTATTGTGCTCATTGGTCCCTAATCCTAAAAAAAGATACTGATTTATATGTATGTCCTTCATCCCTGGATTCCACATCAGAGGCTGATTCTCCACAACTTATATCAATGGTTTGAAAAGACTGTTTTCTGATACGTGGTCTGAATCTTGGTGTATTTCTGTTATAGGATTTCATGCCGCTCAACCACCGATAAACCTGATGATGTGTGTAATCATGGTTTACTTTACTTAGTTTCTACTTTGTTTCTGTTTCTTAAACCGAATCAAGTCGTTCTGATACTTCTGTATGCCATCCTGAAGTTTTAGAAACATTTAATTGGAAGAAGATGCTTGCAATGTTGTCACATTGGTTGCTTTCAATTCCTGGATGGATTGTTTAACCA